AGCCTTTATTTTTAACCATTTACAATCTACTGCTACTGAACCTCAGTTTTCTGTATTATAAAAGGGAGTAAAATACTATGGATGCATAGAGTGTAGTGCTGGGAGCATCCTAAGTACACTCAGAAATTATGCCCCCCCTTCCCTTCTCTAGTTCCAGTAGTGATTAAACATTAAAAATAAGGGAATAGTTCCTAAATACTCCTTACCTATTTCAAAGCAGATATAGTCTCAGTATTGATTAATTCACAAGGGGGAAAGACTACCAGATCAATAAGTATATTTGATATAAACAGACATAAAGGGAAAGAGCAAAAAACAACATATTTTACTCATTTCAGGACTGACTCTGCTATTGATCTTTCAGAATAAGATCAACATGTATCAATATTCAAAGCTGGGGGAGATAAGCATGAGACCCAGAGGTCTCAGTTCACTAGGGCTTGAAGGAAGACTCCCAAAAGAAATTAATTAATCTGGTTACATTTTTTTTTAAATGTACTTTCCATGGAGAAGACTGATTTGGGAAAAAAGGCAGTAAGGATAACACTTCTATAACAAGTTGTTTTGTTTTTCGAAGACAGACCTTTATTCTTACTCTAAAGCAGCCTAAAAATGGGGGGAAGGGAGAAATGAGGTACAAAGTAAAAAAATACAGCATTTTTTTCTGTTAATTCCCTGCACATATATACTTTCTTTGGTTCTTTTTCTTTTTTTTTCCTTTGGGTATCTAGCCATGACACTTACCTCTGACGAGGTGTAAAAAATTCAAATTTAACTTTTTAAGAAAAATTTTCTAACAAGTTAAAACTAAGATATGTTGAGTATCTTAACACAAACCTCAGTACTACAAGAAAACAGTGAGTTTTTCCATCAAGCCCACCCGATGTGTATTAGGGTGTATGCTCCAGAAACCCAACCAAGGGTGACTGCCAAACTAAGCTACGGAACACAACTCAGAAAGCTGGTGAATCCCATAATATAAGTTATTTTTTTAAAGTGCACTAGAGCAAGAGTATCTGATATTACTCCACCCTCATAATAATCCTCTTCTACTTCTGTAATACTGCTCTTGTCACTAAAACATGGGTCAGCATTGGACATGGTGGGCATCCTGAGATAATGACTTTACAGAGAAATATCAGTTAAGCAATCCAACTAACTTACAAGGTAATATCACAGTTTTATGTCCCAATCCTGACAACGTCCTTTTCTAAGGGACCTAACAGGCCGACTGATTTCTTTAAGCTTCCATTTCCACATATGAAAAATGGAAATCACAATACACTTCTGCTTCACTAGGTTCTAAAAATGGAAACGAGCTAAGAAAAAATATATATATAAAGCCGAAGCACTCTGAAAAGAATAAACTAGATTCCCTGACCTGATTATTGGTCAGAGTCCTGTAAAACTAGAATTACTACTTCTTCCAATTCCATACATGCCATCTGGCCATCAAACTGACTGATAAATAGTATTGACTGCGAACTTGATCCATGCAAAGATTTTAAAGTCATAGAAGCGAAGTTTGTGTCAGGATGTATTTTCATACCATTTAACTACCTTCAAATACAATTTACTCACTGGCATTACAAAAGTAAAGGATAAGAAAAATTAAATTAATTACAATTTTCTGAACCTTAAAATTTGTCTTTTTTCCAAAATAGTCAGCAGCAGGTATAGACCAGTTTGAAACCGATACTGAAGCAACTTCGCAACAATTGGAAACGAGCTAACCCAGAAACAGAAGGCATCACACAGCAAGTCTCATCTGATGGGCCGAAATACAATATGGATTATTTTTATATTGTTCTGTCTGAGTTGTCTGTCTCAGATTCTTAACTTCCAGAAGCTATTTTTAAAATAACTTAACACTGTGTATTTCCAGTAGCCATCAAGGCACATGCTGTCATCCCTGACACCGAAGATTGTCAGCAGACTCAACATGTACACTAATGATCTCAGGCAACGATGCTCATCTTCTAATCAAAGGGATCCTTATTCCAGAAGAAAAAGTCTAACATTCTCTAAGAAAAACCATTCTAAAACACAGGACGTAGTCATTACAAAAGGTTAAGATCACTAACACTTCTTACTTCTTTTTAAGATGATCCTACATGCTGAATTCTAAAACCCCAAACTGTCAGGCATGATAGCCTTTTTAGTTCTGTCCCACGTTGCCAATGCTCTCTTCTAGCCCTGTCAAATAATGATAGCTGCCATCATTATTTATTATACTGTAGCTGGCAGCAAGTTGTACATATATTCTTCATCTTAGAATAGTCATCGAGTAACCTAACAAATGACTGGGACCTTACAGTAAAGCTGACCACTTTCCTAGCCCCCACATAAGGCGGCTCTCACATCTTACCACTACTTTACTGCCAGAATAGTCGTTATTTTGTAAAAGTCAAAGGTTTTAATTCTTTTATGTTTTTTCTAGACTTGTTTTAAAATAACTTTTCCTCCTACACATACACTCCTGTCTGCTACTAGAGGCTATCTACCGGAAAGATTTTCACATTTTCTTTTGGCTTTAATACTTTCAATCAAAATTGCAATTCTGTTTTTGGAAGCAACGGCCCTTCAGGAAGTATCTATGAAGATATTAAAAAATGCAGAAAGTAAATTAAGTTCTTTTCATTTAATGAAATCAAGAATGTAAAGGCATTTACGAAAACCAGTGATCTCAGACACAAGTGATTTGACAGGTCACACACACACACATACACACACACACAAATATTTCAAGTTACAAGAAAATATGAGTGACAGATGCTAGGTCTCTTGTTCAAATTAATAGACAAGAGTCTCTCTCTACCACTTTTTGCTCTGGCAATCTCAAATGCTGATATTCTCCTAGATCTAACAGAAAGGAAAAATGGGTATCTTCTCCATCTAACACCTAAGTGGGTAACCTAGATACTGTAAATAGAGGCCACATAAAGGATGCAAGACAGCTCTGAAGTGAGAGCCAAAATATTTAACCTGCAACGCTTTGGAAAGGAACGCGAAAACACGTGCAGCTTAGCCAAAAACCGTACTAACACAAAATTGCCACGGGCTAGTAAGTTTAAAACAAAACAACAAAAAGTCCTCTTTACCAAACACAGTTTTACTGCTATTGGATGTGAAAAGCCCAAACGTCAAAAGTGCAGCTCTTATTTGTTCAAACTGATCATGTCTGCACTCTGCACTAAATATTTAAAATAAATGGGTGAACTGCCTTTCTGAAGCCAGTACTCGCTAAACCAGAGTCAAATTAACAAATAAAGGAGGCAATTAACCAATTAAAGAACATTTTCCTGCTGATATTCTAGTGCTGTCTAGGGGACAACAGTCAAAAGTCTACGATCAGCATTAATATCCATGCCCTATATTCAATGTTTCTAAAGCCAGTAGGTAAATAGTTGGCTAACAGAAATCACACACTCATCTGTCTTTACTCTTTAGGGAACTATACAACAATTATCTGAGAAATAAAAATCAATTCTACCAAAGAACTAGTAACACTGTTAAAATGTAAAAATTGTGCTGCCTACTTTACAGTAATAGTATAACTTTTATGAAATCAATAGCCAACTAGCAAAAATAAGTTAATGCTACAAGATCCATTATAAGACATAAGCACTATAATTTAATACACATTCACTCACTAACTATTAATTTTTCTTTCTATGTGATAAAGGAATTTCAATGACTGCTTCTAGAATGAAATCTTCCTAGGAAGTGTTTCCATTAATAAAAAGAAAGAAAACTATTAAATAAGTAAATTCACATAGTTTAATCAAAAATTCAAGTCAATAGCTAGAATCACTTAAAGTTAATGGATTGTAAAATGTATTCAACAGTACTCTATATACTTTTGCTTGTAATTCAGGAGTCTTTACTACTTCCAAAGCTGGTAGCTTTATAGTAACTTCTAAGTTTTGAGAACTGTAAGAGGAAATTTGGAAGGAAAATTTTTACTCTCCAGATAACGAGAATTAACCCAAGGATGTGCTCATAATTCAGTAAATGATTCAATTTTCTTTAGTTATTAAATCTTCACTTTTTTAAAAAACAGGAAAGAATGCCTTTCCTTCACATACCACCCAAACAGAAAACTTCTAAGTTAAATGAAGTTAAATATAAGGCAGACATGCTTTCTATACAAGAATATAACATATACCAAAACTATAAGGGAAACACAAGATTTCAAACTATGTTTGAGTAGGAATAATAGAGCATTTGCTCTTGATCAGTAAACTGATAAAATATTATAACAGGAAAAAAACCATATTCTTAAAGTATTTTGTCTCCTGTCACTGACAGCATGCAAGTTGCTCTTTTATTACATGAAAGCATTTACGACATCAATGAATGACTCTTCATCAAAAATAGTAACGAAAACCGTATATTCCAATAAGTTCAAAACATCCTTCCAAATTTTCTCAGTTCTTCTCTGGACAATCCGAAACAAAACTCTTTCACTTTGTTAGAGAAATTGATGTAAATGAGTCCCACAAATTTTCAATTACACTTCACATCCAACACTTTGGAGGAGAAACTTTCACATTTAAAAAAAAAAAAAAAAAAAAGGCAACACTGCAATTCTACCACTGATGGATTAGCTTTGCACCAAGGCAATATAAAATTATTTCACTTTTTTATTGTGAAGAGTCCTTTGGAAGTGACGTGTTTCCATCTTTTTTTTCAATCCAGCAACAACAACAAATCTAGCCATAAACCTGACAAGTCAAAACAATAACCAGAAAAGCCTAACATTTCTTACCTGATACAGGTAAGCACCAGCTCCCAAATGCCACCTTGGGATAGTTCAGACTAGTAAGCAGACTCATGTTTTATGATACTAGAATGAACAGGAATAAATCTCTGTTGTTCTTTCCTTAGCAAAATCTATAGCAGCAGCTACACCACAATGTGAGAGGACCCCACAGACCTAACAAATTCAAGGCTGTCGCTAGAGAAATAGGGGAAAAAAACATAAAAAGAAGACTTACTGCTTGTCATGTGACTTGGTGAGGCATGCTGTCCATTGGGTGTGTTTGAGGTGAGGTCAATTGCCATATTGGAGTGCTCCCTTTCAGGTGAAAGCTCATTGTCACCTGCTTTCACAAAATAAAATCTTTTGGTTTCTGTTCATTGACACATAAAATCTAATTACCAACTTTGTTTCATGCAGTGGCACGAATAGCCTTGAATTTTTAATGTAATACGTTTTTCCTTAAAAGAAACTATAAGGAAATATCATTTAGAAATATAGAATAAATGAATGAAATGACGAAAAGCCACAACCTGCCCACAGTAAGAAAATTACAAAATTTCATTATCACAATAATCTTAACTGTAAAATAAGAGGAATTGGGAGCAGTTGATTTCTAAAGTATTCTTTAGTTGAAAAAAAACCAAGTTTCTTTTAAAATCTAATTTAATCGTTGAGCATACAGTATTTGTAATGAGCATTTTCCAAAATGCTGAGAAGTTGGATGTGTGAAAGGAGAGTTGGCTAAAAACATGTCTACTTAAGGAAGCTACTAACTCTATTTAACAACATGTGTCTGAAAAATTAGGCTGCAGAGTAGTAAATATTTAGTACATGCCGTATTAGTAGACATATATGTAACCTGACCTACTGCAAACTTAGGTAAAGTAACCGAGTAGGAAAGCGTGGATCTGCTAAGCTCCTACTGATTTACATGTTATCCTTAATATAGTAAGTATATTCCTATACCTCCTTCTATTTCACTGTATGCTGTTACTTTATCCAACTCATTTAAAGGTGAAACTGTGAACAGATAGAAAATAAGACAGAATCCGTGATAAAGACTTACAGTTGAGAAGTTAAAACACAGGCAATACAAGAGCATCATTTTATTACCAATAAAAAAAAAGTAATGAAAATGAATACTTACATGTTATATAGCCATCAATAGCCTCTGTTTCCATAGTCAAAGTGCAGTGCTGCAATACAAAAGATTATACCCTTAACACAATGATTCCTTTCAATCCTGCCATTAAATGCTTAACTTATTTTGAAGCTCCAAGCAGTTAGCCCATGTTGCTGCGGCTGCAACCTGTGACCAAGAAACATACTACAGTGTACTGTATGTGCTCATTTGCAAGTCACTGAACTCTTTCTGCAAATGATCTGATTCCTGCTGGAGATAGGATAGGAAAGATAAGTGCGCTGTGAGATGGGCTGTAGTGAGAGGGGAATGGCTCTCCTCATCAGAATTTACTTGGTTCAAAGCAAAAAAAAAAATTGGGGGGGGGGCCCCACATCTCAAACGTGCCAGCTTTAAATGAGATTTAAGTATTTTACCACTCACTCCTTCCCACAGTCGCACTGCAGTGTGAGGACTTCCCTAGTATACAGATAGCTCTATTCACAATTGTTGCAAGTTGGTTCATCATGTTCTAAGAGGGAGGGGAGAGGGCAAACATACGTAAGAAAACAAAACAAAACATAAAACTTAGTGCCCAAGTGTGTCTCTAAGGTTTCTGCAGCACTCACCCAACTCCCGAACCCGTATTGACATTTTAGCCTACCCCAAGTTCTGTGTAAGCACCTGTTCAATGTAACCTTAATTTCCTGCCAGACCATGGTAGGAGGAGAATGCCAAGCTTACTTAATACATTCTGATTTTGAAAATTTCATAAACTTTTTTGCTGTTGGGGAGGGAATCACTTTTGTTAAAGTTTGGGGAATTGTTCTCGTACACCAGTGACGCAAAACAAAAACTTAATTCTCAGAAACAAAAGTAAATTGCATGAGATGACACCCCCTAGCTTTGATTTCACATAATGAAAAGGTCGATAAGCTAACTGTATTCTTTGAAGGAAAAAGTTTAAAGAATTGACATGTCCTGAGGAGGTTTTTACTTATTTTTTTTTTCCCTTTGGCCCTGGTCCTTTTTGCCTTTAGTTTCAAAACTCTCACTGCACCAGCAGCTAAATTATTCACAATGAGCCATTTCTGTATTGATCGCCAAGTATATTTAGCCCTGGCTCCTGGAATTTCTCCATTACTTACTGGAAAACAGGCAGCTTCACTTCTTGTCTCCAAAACCACTTCCCTTCTCCCTCCCCTCCCCTTCTTCACCACCA